TGAAAGGCCGTGGCTATTATTATTTTTGCTAAAACCGTGGATCTTACGATATGTGTAACAATGGAATGGCGGTTTTCAGACCGATGGTATTAAAATTTTCGTCGAAACGGTAGTTTTCAAGTCTATATGCAGCACGGAATGGAAGTTTTCGGATCAGTAGTATAAAATTGTTACAGAAACGGTAGATTTCAGGTCTATAATAGAAACGGATTGACATCAGAGATTGTTTAGTTTTCGAAAAATTGAACAACAATAGTTACGTTTTCGAATAATCAATTTGGGTAAGGCTCATCTTAAAAGACATAAAATTTCTGTAATAATTTAGAATGAAGCTTTGACCATAAGGATAATTCTTGTTCGCTTAAAATATAAATTTTGGTCAGCAGTTTGTCATATGATTCTTAGATCGTCGATCACGCAATGCTGAACGCTTAAAGACACGTGCTGATAATTAAATGTAATCATGACATCTAGTATGTGCTTCATAAAGTATTTGAATCATGTCTGAAAGGTCATGGGTATTATTATTTTTGCTAAAACCGTGGATCTTACGATATGTATAACAATGGAATGGCGGTTTTCAGATCAATAGTATTAAAATTTTTGCTGAAACAGTAGATTTCAGGTCTATATGCAACAAAGGAATGGCGGTTTTCGGATCAATAATATAACATTTTTACTGTAATGGTAGATTTCAGGTCAATATTTCACAACGGATTGACAGTTTTGAGATTGTTTATTTTTCGGGAAATATATATATATATATATATCACACGAACACTTCTTTTTTACTTGAATGCCCGATTTTATTCCACAACTTACTCGTATACTTACAGCTTATCCAATATATAGATGTCATGATTACATTTAATTATCAGCAGGTCTCTTTAGGCGTTTAACATGGCATGATCGACGATCTAGGAAACTATATGACAAACTGCTGAACAAAATTTATACTTTAAGCGAACAAGAAGTGTCCTTATGATCAAGTCTTTATTCTAAAATATTAGAAAAATTCTGTGTCTTTTAAGTTGAGCATTATCAACTTGATTATTCGAAAACATGACAATTATTGTTCTATTTTTCGAAAACTAAACAATCTCAGACGTCAATCCGTTTCTATTATAGACCTGAAATCTACCATTTCAGTAACAATTTTATATTACTGATCCGAAAACTGCCATTCCGTGCTGCATATAGACCTGAAAACTACCGTTTCAGCAAAAATTTTAATATCATCGGCCTGAATACCGCCATGCCATTGTTACACATATCATAAGATCCACGGTTTTAGCAAAAATAATTACAGCCAAGGCCTTTCAGACATGATTCAAATACTTTATGAAACACATACTTACTTACGTTAAAGTCGTCGATTATTTTGAACGTGAAGTGCTACACGCTGATAATAATCAATTCTAATAGATATATGTAATGAAATCGTCATTACTATATTATTTGTATTACCTCTATGTGTCTGAGGGTATTACAATTTTTGTTCAGACGTTAGTTTTCGATTTTCTTAATCGATACTTTTTGTCAAAGCTAAACAATCTTAGAACTTCCGTTGTTACCTGCAGTTTACACTGCGCAACATGTCCAACGGCAGTTATGGGAACTTAACAAATTTAATGTACTAAAAGATTGTATATTTGCTTTATATAACGTTTATCGAGTAATTAGTATCGCCACTGAACTGTTTGTGACTATATATAACATATATATAGCCTATCGTATAAATTACAACATTTATACGCTTTTGGTATAAATTTATTTCATGTATTGGTGGTTTTGAGGAATTTATATAAAGAAATATACTAATGGTTGTTTTCAGGACAGTCCCTAAAACTACCGATAAATATATATAACTTTCAGGACTGACCTCAAAAGTACCAGAAGTCCTCGAAACTGCCGATGCATGCTAAAAATCGACCCGAAAACTGCCCTTCTACATACATATAAACGTATATATATAAACGTATGTATGAACGTATGTATAAACGTATGTATGAACGTATGTATAAACGTATGTATGAACGTATGTATAAACGTATGTATAAACGTATGTATAAACTCATGACATAGAAAATACGTAGAAAGACGTGATACAACGTGTTGTGACACGTTTGAAATTCTTGGAAAGAGCGGGACGGCCTGCCCCTACGTCGATTTCAGAAGTATTACCATATACGAAGTAACACAATTTACGAGAATGCGATCAGTCTTGCGATACCCGTTTGTACGAAAGGTCCAACAGCAGCAACAGCAGCAGCAGCAGCAATGTACTCCGTAGGAAGCAATACACGAAAAAATTATTACGTTCCACTTCAGAATAATGATTGAACACCATTATTTACGAAAAAATGTGCCAAGTAAATTTAAGAATCCCCCATTTTTATGTTATTTCAAATTAACTATTTTTAATTAATTATTTAATACTTCTTTTATATTTTTCCATAGCGCGCCCGTGCATCGTGCTATTCGTATACTAGGCAGGAAATACGCATTGACACGTACGGGATACAAATTTCTAGAAATTGGCATCAACGTTGGTCCACCGAGCTATGTGGAGATTGCGATAGGAAATAATCGCGGAAACGAATTATGGAACTCCAAGGGGAATGCGGGGCGCGAGGGATTCTTCGGTGGCGGGGGTATGATCTCATGCGGAGTGGCACTAAGGCATCACAGATTTTGATCTGCAGTCACGTACAAGATAACAAAAAACATCACAAAAAAAAGTAAATATTGCCATGGACAAAAACAATACAAAAACAAATAGTTATAAAACGAAAAATTTTTCAAAGGGTATTCGCTGTTATATGCTCCAACTGTTTTTCGACCAGTTTGGACTCAATCGATTAATTATAAAACTTAGTCGTATTTAGATACTTAAAATAATTAATAAATGTCGTTTCTAGAAAAATTACATTACGCTTTATCTTGGTTGGCACGAAAAATGGTTGGAGTATATACCGGCGAATAACCTTTGTAAAACTTTTCGTTTTATAACTATTTGTTTTTTGTATTGTTTTTTTGGCAATATTTTCTTTTTTTGTGATATTTTTTGTTGTCTTGTACGTGACTGCAGTCCCCAAAATCTGGGATGCCTTACTGACACTCCGCATGACTCATGCCCCCGCCACCGAAGAATCCCCCGCGCCCCGCATTCCCCTTGGAGTTCACGAGAACTCTCATAACATTACTACTATCGACCATTTGCCCGATGTTCGATGGTTATAGAGCCACACGTGTCATTTATTAAGGACAACAGCTGTTTCGGTTATAATTCTTAATCTATTTATTTCTTCTGTCCCTCTGGATAAACTTCTTCTATTCGTTACTTGGTTCAAATATTTAATCCAACGACTGTGTCCCGAGTAGATTACTGGGTTAAAAAGGTGAACGTTAATCGGCTCGCAGCTATCGAAACTTCTTATGGTATTATAGATACAGATGGTATACCGCTATTATTTGTTAATGACCCTTATGGTGATGACGAAAATTCTAAGCGAAGAGAAGAACAGTGGAGTCCGGACGTAAGAATACATTTTATATTGTTAATATGTGCTGAAGAAGGATCTGTGATCACGAAACGTACTGTTAGATTTTAATAAATGTATTGATTATAAATTTATTTCTATATCTTTTTATAAGCTCGATTATTGACTGAATTTGACTATAGTTTGTTTTGCGTAATACGAGCAAATTCTTACTTTTTTTTTATATCATTAAGTGTAATCAATAAAAAATTTAAAAACAGAATTTAATTAAAACTGTTGCGAGCACGCAGATACTCCCTTTCTTTCTTTCTTTTTTTGGTTTAATACAATTTACATAATTTGTAATTTAAAATTAGATGCATATAGCACATTTCTTATATTTGAATTCTTATTTTAATTATTCGACTACAATCAGTTCTTCTAAAATTTAATATTCGAAACATTTTAGATCTTTAATTATCTACAATAAACATCACATTTGATAAAACGACTCATCGACCACCATCAATTATGTAATATAAAGAAATGTATACTCTAATGTTTGTATATATTTTCTAGTTTTGCAACATGCGTTGCGCGTGTTACTCAAATCATACACTTAAATCGCATTGCTCAAACAATAAGTACAGTCGTTTATCTCGAACGATATCTATAATAATCGACCATAGTTTCTTATATAATAATATCAATTGGACTATAACAACAATGTTTTTCTTTAGCATAAAACATCATTAATTTTGTAACTAGACAGAATGATGTAAAGCGTATTATATCATAATTAAAATTACATATGACTTTGCTATAATAAGATTGAACTAACATAACAGTGACAAAAGTGCTACTTTGATTTTAGATGGCGCAATTAGTTCAAATGATTTACGATGGTTACCAAGATCTGATGAACAACAAAAGCGATCCGAGAGTCAACGATTGGCCGATGATGAGCGGCCCGTTCCCCACATTAGCGATCTGCTTGCTCTACGTCTATTTCATTAAAGTCTTGGGACCAAAAATGATGGAAAATCGAAAACCTTTTGATTTCAGAAGAGTGATGATATGGTACAATCTCTTTCAAGTATTATTCTCCACATGGTTGTTCAATGAAGTAAGTTGCCCAGCAATTCTATTCATGCAAAATTAACTCATCAAGATATTTTATTATGTTTTCTCTCATATGCGCAGAGTCTGATCGGAGGCTGGGGAGGACGATATTCCTTCAGGTGTCAGCCGGTCGATTATTCAAACGACCCGATTGCACTGCGAATGGCACGAAGTTGCTGGTGGTATTACATCTCAAAGTTTACTGAGTTTACGGACACAATTTTCTTTGTGTTGAGAAAAAAGAACGACCAAATTACCACTCTCCATGTCATCCATCACGGCTGCATGCCCATGTCAGTTTGGTTCGGAGTTAAATTTACCCCTGGTAAACATATTCAGTTTCTATCTTCTATTTACAAAACACATAATCGATTAATGTTAATCTTCTTCAAATTTTCGCGTTTATGTGTGAAATTTTATTATTGTCATTATAAAAAAATCATATTTGATTTTGCAAATATGTGAAATGTAAACTAAAACTTAGCAATATTAATTTGGCATTTATTATAATTATAAAAAATGTTTCATTCTTTCGTTACTATACTGATTACTCAAGCAATACAGTTACATTAAAAACACTAGAAATTATATAATAAACATGTAAAAAGAAAAATAAACATTCAAAATTTAATACGGCTTTGTAACTATTTAATAAGCGTTATAAAAACGTTTATAAGATGTTTGTAATGTTTAAGATATCGTTATACAAGACATTTCAGTTTAATAAAAGTATATTTAACATCAATAATACTTAACGTTTCTACTTTTTCTTATAAAAATCGTTTCGAGATGTAACATATGTTTTTTAAATATAAATTTTCTGCTTGAATACCTGGTAAAAAATTTTTCATGCATCAATATGTATAAACATGTATAAATATACATAAACACGTAAAAGACTTCCGTTTCCGGAGCGAGTGTGTGGACGCGTGAGAGACGGTAGAAATTTTGTGAGGCATGAAGTAAATGAGAGAAGAGTGGCGAGAGAGTGGAGTGTGGAGGTAGAGAAGCGGGTGACAGAGTAGAGGTGGAGTGATTGGAGGGAGCGAGAGGTGTGAGTGATAGAGAGAAAGAGAGAAGTAAGAAAGGTTGAGTGGAAGGAAGTGAGGTTAGAAAGAGCGTAGAGGGTGAGAGCCCCTTACGGAAAAATACTATTAAGAATCAATAGTTACTATTGGTATTCCAGTAGTTACTACTGAGACTCCAGTAGTTATTACTGAGACTCCAGTAGTTACTATTGAGGCTCCAATAGTTACTATTATGAATCCAATAGTTTGAACTTCGGAGAACCTGAAAATAATTATTATAATAACGCCAGATTCAAGGAAAAATTGATACATAAATAAAGTAAGTAAAGTAAATAAAAATCATCATTATAAAACCACTATTAGTTATGTTTTAATTATTTATTTATGAAATTAATTCCAAATTGGATCAAATGCGAATAATATTGCACCATAAAACGTTAATTAGAATATATTTTTCGTTATAACATTTATCATCTTGGTACCGTTTCCCTCATTCCATCATGCGTTGTGTATCTCATGATAACAAATGTTATAATGAAAAATATAATCTAATTAACGTTTTATGGTGCAATACTATTCGCGTTTGTAACTACTGTCACGTCCTGCGACAAACTCCGTTACAAATTTTTTTTTATATGTATAAAACTCACCGTAGATATCACAACGCGACCACTTAACTTCTTTTTTGGGTGCGTATTTAAACCCATCTTTTTCTTGGCGCGTACTTGAACTAATTAGCATATATTCACGCATAGCCGCATCTTCAAGCTGCAACCTCATTGGCCATTACGCTTATAAACCTGACCAATCTTCGCAACTCCTCTAGACCTAACGGAATGTGATTCACCAATCCCTACCTAACTTACCCCCATAATCATAACTCTAATCCTAACCCTTAATCAATTTCGACCAATCAGGAAAATATCGTGAACCCACTTACTAAACATTTCCACCAATCACAACTCAGCATTTCTCTTACTGTCGCGACCACCTGAAAGAATATCAACCAATCAAGATCCTAGAAATCAATCCTTCATTTCGTGACCTATTTAACTCCCTATTGAACAGACTTTCCTTACGAACTGTTTATAAACCACCTTTTGCATACCTTAAACCTAACTCACATGTCTTAATTCTCGCATCCGAAATCTTTAGTCCCCCAACGACTCATGTTGCATCTCCGTAAGATACCATTTTTATGAAACCTTAATCAAACTATCAAATTCACAAACAGAATAAAACATTTAAACAATATATTTATGACCGTATATTTGAGAAACTCAATTAATAATAGAATGTAACGGCCTATTACGGTTGGAGCTGGATCTTCGTTGCTTTAAA